GATCGTTTAACAGCCTGTAAAGTCAGAACTGACTTATTACAGACGGCATATTTGAAAATCTAAGGGTTTCAAGAAGTAATAGGTAATAGATATCTAAAGAAATATCACACATTGTTTGTCTGTTATCTGATCGAATCCAGCCCTATCCACTTTGTTTGTATAGTATATTTTTATAAAACTTTGAATTCAATAAATTTTCTTTCATATCAATTTATAGACCTAAATCTTAACAAAACCGTTGAAATCGCCAACACTGATCAGAGAATCAAACCCTTTCAAACACAATAATAATCAACACATAGTATTGGTCCATAGGGAGAGTTGACCAATGTCTTGACGTTTTTTCATCTGCATTGGTGTATTTTGAAATTATATAACTATATATAACTTTTTTCTGCTTATTCTTCAAGCAGACAATGCTTTATTTGCAACAAAGAATACACCCACAATCTCCAAAGTGCATCCAGCACGCTTCAATCTCACATTTGTATCTCCAAGCAGCGCTCCCTATACTTCTCTGTAATCACGATGTTTATTTCAAAACAGCACAACTTCACAGAACAAAATAACAGGCTTTTGTGACACGTTCAGGTTTCAAAAAGGCGCGTCTAAACCCCAAACCCCCCTCACTTCTTCAACACTGGACGGGTTGGGACAAAACTCACAGAAAAGTTGTATTAACATTTAAACTCTAGGTAAAAAAAGAAATCAAGTTTATTCCCTGACATCGTGTCTAAGGGAGCTAATAGAACTCTTCATCCGCCTGCATTCTTCTTTTCAAAATTATATTGTAAATCACATTCTGGTCTGATCTGGTCCGGTCTTCACGTTCAACCCGGTGTGCTCTTTTCTGAACATCTGGATCTTTGCAGTTTCTCATGTCAGCTCATGCCATTCGGTCCACAGTCTTGTCTTGAGTCGAGGCTCAGTCATATTCTCAGTTATTACAACATTACGCTGGACTGATGTGGTGTGAGGGGACACAACACTGCGTTTACTGAGCTCTTTATATAGAGTTTTAATGATCTTAAAGCTGCACTTCTTTGTCTTTTAACTTATCCTTACATGGGAAACAAGCATTTGACTTCACTGAGACGAGAGGCCAGTTTTTGGGAAATGTACTAGCGGTCAACTCAGTGGGGGCGGGTCCCGGCTCAAAAGTGGCCAAAATGACGTGCGCTGACATGCTTGCAATACCACCCCGGGCCGATGGGGGTGGACCCGGAATAGAATTAGCCAATGCTAACATATAGCATTTGCAGACCTCTTGAAAACCTCTTTACAGGATGGGCCAAAAGTTGGCTCTTGGCCCAAATTGAATTTTTGAAGTCTCTCGTTTAAATGAATGGGTCTCGTGCCGGCTGACGCATGTGCAGATGCGTTTTTGCTAGGGGTGTCAAAATGATCGCGTTAACGTGCGTTAATTAATTATTTTCATTAATCGCGTTAAAAAAATTAACGCTTTTAACGCATGTGCCAAGTTACTAGCACCCCGCGGCCGTGTGACCGGGGAAAAATTTCTTTGATTGGGAGTCTGCAGCGTTCTGGGGCAGCTGCGGCCGCTTTGGACAGCGGTTCCCGCGTCCTGCAGCTGTGAGAGGCTTTCGTGAGCGGCTTTCAACAGCTTTCTAGTCATCCCTGTAACAAAGAATAGTTTGTAGAGGCACAATAATGAAAAGGATCCACAGCCTTCATGAGACAGAAGAAGAAGAGGCTTTAGCAGATGTGGACTATGTCGAGCTGAAGAAATACTGTACAGAAAGACAGAATGTCAATAATGTTGTTATAATAAACAAATACTGTACATATGTACACTATGCTGTCATTTGGCTTTCCATTCAAACAACCATTTACAAAAAAATATGGCATCATTTTGCCGATAGTTCTAAATGCGATTAATTACGATTAATACATTTTTTAGCTGTTATTAACTCGATTAAAAAATGTAATCGTTTGACAGCCCTAGTTTTTTCACATTTTCCAGCCCCCGCTGCCTTTTTCAGTCACTCCATGAAAGCCAAATTTTTGGCCCATTAGTTAGAACGGCGGAGATAGGCGTGACTACGTCCGTTAATATATACAGTCTATGGGTCAACTGAAAATCACATCTAACACAAGTCGGCATCTGTTTCCTGATGAGATCTGTCCCATTCTCCTGTTACATCACATCTGATCTTTACAGCGGGAGATGTTAAGTTTGTTAAATTAACATAAATGTTGAAGTTTGTATTATTGAAAATATTGACTCTAATATTCTACATCTGACTTAAATTATCGGTATCATCCCAAGAAGAATTATATATAATTTTATGGTGTGTTTGTTTAGGCGCATGTACAGTAGAACAGCTGGTGTTAGTTACTTACTACAAAGATTACCTACTTGTGTTGTCCAGTAGAGTCATGTTTGTATTTTTGTTTTATTACTAGTAAAAACAAAATTATAAGTTCAATATTGATGTCAACCCCTAGAATGTGCATGTTTTAAACCATTTCAAGCAAAGCCGTTACATCTATCACACAGTGGATAGCACTCTCGCCTCTCAGCAAGAAGGTCCTGGGTTCGAATCCCGGTCGGACCAGGGCCTTTCTGAGTGGAGTTTGCATGTTCTCCCCGTGTCTGCGTAGGTTTCCTCCGGGTACTCCGGTTTCCCCTACCACTAAAAATATGTCCAATAGTTCTGGCATGCGCCTCCTGTACTGGCGACCCTGCTCCCATCTCTGTGTGGAGTGAGACCCAAAATTTACAATTGTAAACCGCTTTGAGACTCAGATCTGCAGTGAAAAGGCGGTATATAAATAAAAACTTACTTACTTACTACTTACTTAACTATTCAAGTGAAGAGTGGTGTTGGAGTCTCTGGAACCTTCCACATCAGTGGTATAAAGTAGTGCTGAAAACATCCATTCTGAACGTGATGGGAAATCCACCATGGATTATTTTAACACCATTATCTGTATATTTGTATGTGGCCCTCTGCCTTCCCTAACACTAAGTAGTCTTTGAGATCATACACCAGCTCACAGTGTCATCCAGCCAACTTCAGCTCAGGCAATATAGGCATGGTGAAATGGTGTTCATTCATATACTGTACTGACGTTTGAGTTTGACTGTTTCACAAAATTCCATGAAGGGGGCTAATGTAGCTGGTGAGATGGCATTTGTCATTCAGCCAACTCCAGCGCTTTCATACTTCAGAACTGCCTCAATCCAGTCCAAACTGTTTTATATCCTGGGTTTTCAGCACCCTAGACAAGCCTGGTTAACTCAAGTCGCCCTCTTAGGAGTTTGGACACTTCTGATTCCTGTACATATGTTGACTTCCAACAATGGTAGAGTTCCAATGAGACAAAAGACTTTAAAAACCGAAATAGCCATATAATCATTTTGCCTTTCTGGTCTGCACTGTCGGCTCTTTGCAGCGTAGTGGGGATATGCTAGTTGTCTCAGTGACTTTTGGCCGTGGTGGTGGTGGTGGTGGTGGAGAGATTGTGTGAGGCCGTGGCACTGGGCTGGATGATGGATCCATCCTGCGGTCAGCACTAATGAAAAGCAGGCAGAGGAGACAGCTGTTGACTCCAGCCGCATGTCACTGGGTTTCTATAGGACCACAAATTAGAACTGTTTTGCACCACTAATGCCACGGCTAATGCCACAAGTTCACATCGTCTCTGAGAGGAGAAACGGGCATGAAGTTAATATTTGTAATGATTAAATGTTTGTCTTTTAATCCTAGGGTGAAAATAGATTTGCATGTAAAAATGTGTTTCTTGAGTTTGTCCCAGTTGTGTCGATGGTCGAATAAGTTTTGACCCTAATCAAAGCTGGTGTAATTACTACAGAATGAAATGTAAATTATTATGTGTAAATAATATACTTTTATCACCAAAGCTTTGTGCAAATCTGATACTGTCATTTTGTTGTTTTTAATTGCAGTTTTTGTATAGTATGAAGGGTAAACAATGTTATTCTACCACCAGAGTAGACCAAATGTAGTACCAGAGTAGACCACTAGTAGTACCATCAAATTTGGAAATTACCAGCTGCAAAGAATTGCATTTCATTTGAGAAACTGGTAAAACTAATTTATGGGTTTTAAAAGACAAGTGTGATGTCATAGTGGTACAACAACATAATTCTATCACAGGACTGAGACAGTTACAGTTACATGTTTGTGCCAGAAATTCCTGCTATTAGCGTGGATGGATCTAAAAACAACTCCAGGACTGATTTGAAGGAGGAACAATATTGTAACGACGTAAAAGCTCAACAATTTAAAAAATAATTTTTATCATATCTCTCCTTTAAAGTTGAAGCTGCATTCCCAAAATACAAACCCAGGTGGAATCTGGGCATTGGAAATTTTTGGCTTTAGTTCTGTTTGCCTAAGGATACAATAATTTCAGATTTTAGACAAAGATTGTATGGAGAATATGTAACAAAACTATTTCAATTTAAAACACACATTGTTTTAACTCCTGGATTCCAGTGTTTTCGCTCACCCTTGTGCGGTGACACCTTTTTCACATAAGCAGTCAAAGTGTGAGGCCAGAGAAGGGTGAATGACTGCAGTATTGTTCTTTAAAGATCACATTTACATTGTGGCAAAGGAAGCCACAGAGAATGTCAGTGTCAGACTAAACACAAGTCCGTGAGAAGGGAAGCAGAATCATCATGTGATAAAAGAAAAACAGTCAATATGACGGCTGCTAGGACTCTGTGTTCGATGAATTATGTTGTTTCAATTTCTCAGAAAGGAATACAGAAGACAGAAGTGAAAGAAGCCATTATAGTTCTGATTGTACTGAAGGAAGTTTTTTTTGTCCTTGAGTATTGTGAAACACATGTTGAGAATGTACAGAGTGTGGTATAAAAAGCTTAGCTAAGCCTTGTTGAACAAGAGTATGTTCATGTGACCGTTATTTTCCTTAACAAATCATTCTAATCTGTGTTCAGTTTGTTGTGTTCCGCTCTTCTAATGGGTCATATGTCTCTGTTGCAGGTGAACTACCTGGGGAAGGTGACTATCTCTGGGAGTCATTTCCTGTCAGGCTGCACAGAAAGAGCTGTGGTGGGGCTGGTGGAGCACAGAGCCCTGGCTCAGCAGCAGGGGACATGCCTCAGAGGCTCAGTGCTGGAGATCCGACCATTCCAAGTGCGCCTCCACCACCTCGACGAGCACGGAGAGCCCTCCCCAAACATGGACACTTACCAAGTGGCACGGATTGCATACTGCACAGCTGACCACAGCGTCAGGCCCAATGTGTTTGCATGGATCTACAGAGAGATCAACGATGACCTGTCCTTCCAAATGGACTGCCATGCGGTGGAGTGTGAAAACAAGCTGGAGGCCAAGAGGCTGGCCCACTCCATGATGGAGGCATTCCGCAAGACCTTCCACAGCATGCGCAGCGACGGGCGCATTCACAAGAGCGGCTCGACGGACGACTTTGCCGAAGACTCGTCCACTCCTGAAGACACCACCCCAGACGACGGCTGAAGGGCTGAGTGCAAACTCCGCGTCCCAGTCCTGATGCAAGGATGGACAGCTCTCATTCTTCTCTAGTCTCTTTCTTTCTTTTGGAACAAATCAACTGACCGTGTGAACCACCATGCCCAGGTTAATGAAGTAGCTCTGAAACAAGGGGAAGGGTGATGATTTAGTGACATTTCCAATCATGGATAGCAAAACGCTGCCATTTGAATCAAAGACCCATGAGGGTTCCTCCAGCACCTCCAGAGATCGACTAGACCTTTACATTTCCTGTCCGTCTCACTCCCCGAATAGACACTTTGTGGTTCTTAAGCTTTTTTTCATTTAAGGAACAACTACAAACTTGGTTCCTGTTAAGACCTTAGCTCATGAAACCGAATGCTACTCTTGCTGTGTGTGGAGCCGGCTGAAATAAGACTGACTTATTTTGGGTTCCGTTCCCAGAGTTCCTTCCACGCTGGAGCACACTAGTTCTCGTATAAAAGAATGGATCTCTGTTACAATGCCTTCTGACCTTGATAGTAAGTGACAAATGCGGACACAACTTAAAGCACTATGCGTGTGATCGTTATGGTACTACTCGAGGCATAAACCGTGTCTCTACTGTATACAACAGACGGTACGGAGAAGGTGCTCACCAGAAGAAGAATATGCTAAGTTTCGGCTGAAAGTTTGGCCTGTCCGTGCATCTCAATCATTCACATTTTGTCGGTAAACCAAATCCAAGGCTGTGTTTTCGCAGCCGTCCAGACGATGTGCCTCACTTTCCTCTCACGTCGCCTATTTTTTTAAAGCCCCGGCGTCATTCAAATCCATGCGACCGAGTACTTGTATCATTCGTATGTGTGTGTTAGCTTCCTTCTGCAGAGTCGGCGTATTGTATATGAATGTGCACGAGTGCTTGGATGTTTGCTTGCGACTGATGACTCTGTTCGACGTTGAGAAGTCTTGGTACTGCGAGCATAGTGTGTTTTTTTAACTGAGGAAGATGAAGCAAAGTCGCAGGTTGTAGCCACCTCAGTGCTCGATCGGTGGCCATCTTGAGGCGACTGACAAAGCTTTTGGATGCACTATACTCTAGTTGTAGTGATGTAGGGAGGTACCAGGTAGTGACCAATCTGTAATACTGCTCCACACCACTTTTCGTTTAACTTGACCAGGCCCAAACTGTGATCGTCCTGGTCATTGGCAGTTCATAGAGGACCAAAAGATCAGTTGGCGCTAGAAGTCTGCTGCTGCTAACCATATCCTTATGCATTTTTAGTGGCCCCTTGATCGATTTTGATTTTAATATATCAATAACAACTTGCGGCATTGATGGTGATGGACAACAATGGCATGTTATACATCATCTATTTTCTCACATAAACAACCACGTTTAATTGATTCTAAAATGTTAACCCAACACATCATTAGAAGTATATAAAACTATATTTTTAACTCTATTTGGTCCAGTTTTAGATAAATCTAGTAATCAATTAATCATCTTTTTTAACCTTACATACACTTAAACTTGCTGAGAAGAGGTTTTATAGCTCAAATAATTCTACAGACTTCAGAATGAAATGAAGAGTATTTTGAATTGAACACCCAATGTGTAACTAGTACAATACAATACAATTTATTCTTGTATAGCCCTAGGTCACAACAGAAGTCATCTCAGAGGACTTAACAAAACCATTGAAATCACCAACACAGGTCAGAGAATCAACAGTTAAAACACATGAAGAATATAAAGCACACACAGAAGAAAATGTCCATACATGTTGTAGAATGCTAAAGTGTCCTGATCATCACCAATCCTTTCTGTTGGACACTAACTGTCCAACAAGACCCTCCTGCATCGACAAGGAAAAACTCTTAAAAAACCCAGTGGGAAAAAGTGAGAAACCTTGGGGAGAACTAGGGAAACCCACAGGGAGGGAGACCCATTTGAGAAAGGGATCCGCTCCTCCGGACTGACAGGCTAATGATCCAGGACCTAAGCTAGCTACAGGACGTGGACCAGTGGCCGCTGAACGTGGACAGGTCCGGTGCAGGACCGAAGCACTCCCAGGCGGGTCGGGCGGGGCAGTCCGCAGGTGTAGATGGAAGAGGCCAGGCTCAGAGATCCCGTCATCGTACCATGAAACAGACAATGGGACAACGGGTGAATAGCAATGAACAAACTACAGTCAAAATCCTAATAAACTAGTCATCTCATGCAGACGAAATTGGTGAAATGTATTTTAAAAAATCCCATATTGACTGATCTAAATATCCTAATTACAGCCCTACTAACATCAAGACAGTTATATTTGTAGTCCTTAAAAAATAACATGGCTTTGACACATTAGCGTTGTAAACACTATACCAGACACAATATTTAATTTAAACATTTTCAGGGGAAAAAAATAAAAAACGTAACATAGAAGTCTAGGAGAGAGCCATGTCCCCTGCTGCGCACAGAGCCCATTAGTCCAAAAACATACCAGAAGTTATTAGCTCGTCACAGTGTGCTTTGAGTTTATCCCTCCAAAACCTCAAAACCTACATCGTTTCCTTTTTATTTTTCATTTCGCACTGCAATTTTGAGCTACATCGAGCACGCAGACTTCTGTAGCCACGCAGGCCCAGCAGCTCGTCTTTGCCGGTCCACTTACACTGTCCATGCGCTCCAGATTACAGAGATTATAGAGCCCTGTTATTTAGAGTACTAGAGAACGGTACGGAGTAGTACGCAAAGACATATTTAAATCTTGCTTAATAAGCTTATATTCAAACCCAGATGTAATCGCATAAGTACAGTATAGACATGAATAGTTGTATAAACACATGATAGAACATAGAAAACCATAGTACAATACAAAGCAGTGTTATGAAGCCTACTGTGAAACAAGAACAGGTGATAGTAGTGTCTGCGAGCGTGTCTGTGTGCGTGCCTGTGTGTGCGTGTGTGTGTGTGTGTGTGTGTGTGTGTGCATGGACAGGCCAGAGAGGAGTTTTTTTTATAAAGCTGTATATTACCGTGTCTTGTCTGTGAGAAAGCTTGGACGCGCTTTAAATGTTCAAAAATGTTACCTTAAGTGTTTTCTATACAGTGTTTGCAAAGATCAAGGAACAATTGCATATAAAGTACCTACCAAATGCAACAGAGTGGCCTTTTTGTAAACATTTCTGGAAACTCATGGAGTACCTTTACTGAGGGGAGAGAGGAGTGGTGTTGTAGTCGGCAGAAGCCACAGAGCCACTGTTCATGTGGGTGGGTTTTACGCAGTTTTCGGACACAGTAATGATACTTCTACTTAAGTAATATTTTTATTACTATATTAAATGTATGTGGTCCCCATAGATCTGGGGTCTCCAACCTGTAGTTCATGGCCCACTGTGTCAATTTAATTCATTCTTGTATAGCCCTAAATCACAACAGTAGTTATCTTGGAGGACTTAACACAACCGTTGAATTTGCCAACACAGATCAGAGAATCAAACATAAGAAATAAAACAGAAAACACATTGGTATTGGTCCATGAGGGGCAGATGGCCAATGTGCATGTGCTGATAAATGTAAAACATAAATTTTGAATGTTGAGTGTCCTGGATCATCACCACAGTCTGTTGTGTTAGACCCAATGCCATACCCTCCTGCATCAGCAAGGAAAAACTCTGGGAGGTCCGCATTGAGAGAGGGATCCGCCCCCACGGACAGACGGGCTACAGATCTGTAGATACAGTGTCATTTTATGTGGCCCTCTGCTTTACAATCATAAACCCATATAGTCATGCTGTACCTCAATGTGAATCTCAGAACTTTTGGAATCCATTTGTCAACTTTTTTTCATATATACTGTGTTTAGTTGTGTCACAAAATCCCCTATGTGACATTGTGGTCAAACCCTGAAATGATCACCTGTCTGGCCAACTCCAGTGGCCTTTGTACGAACAGGTTTGGAGACTTCTGCCTTAAACCAATCCAGGGCAAGCCACCATTAAAATATTGATTCAATTCATGACATCTTTACACCTTGCCCAGAGACTACACTTAAGGGCACGGTCACATAGATTTGAAGCTAAAACCGACCCTTTTACAGAAATGTGCACTGTCTCTGTTCAAATAAATCAATGCAAAAAAACTTGAAGGAGTAACTCTGCCATATTTGTCTTTCTCAGTGGGGAAATAAGGTTGTAGACCCCTGCCTTAGATGGACTGTATGGTGGTCTCTTTGGCAGCCTGGTAAAAATAAATCTCAATACAGCATTCTTCCTTAATTTGGCTTGTTTATGGGTCATCTAGCAACTGTCCCCAAAGTACAGCCCTGCTTTTAACTGAAAATGTTATTGTTAACTCAGCTCAAGGGGAGAAATAGCAATAAGCACACGACATCAAACCGAGTCGTCTTGTTTAATCATTATTTTGCCAGAATCTGCCTCAAACCACACTTTATTTCCAGCTGGGTGTTAAATGCCAAATGTAGTGGGCGTTTACATGTGGTGGCACGTTCAATGGTGGCACCAAGTCAAGCCGGATTCCCAGCAGTCCCTTACTTTTGTCAGAACTTTTATGATGTTTGTCTTGTTGTGCTGCTCTCTCTCACCACAGTGCATCAAAAGGACCACATCAGAGGGAAGATAGCTGGCTGCCTGACACTAAGTACAGCACTACCCCCTTGGTCCTTGACTGGGGCTGAAGGCAAAATGGATACTGTTCTAAATGTGCAAATAGTAACTCTGCCTCCCTCTGGTGGCGCTTTAGGAATATTACAGTATACGTACATGGAAGACTGGATTTAATCTACAAGTCCAAACAATGCAGCTGTGAAGTCGGCGTGCCTTAAACATCTACAAGGTTATATTCTCTACTCAAACTTGGAAAAATAATCCCAAAACAATTGTTCATAGATTTAGTGTCATGTGCAGGGCTGATCAGCTATCTGTTGAATAATGACCATATTCATATTTTAACTGTGTTTATCCAAAAAACATTCTCTTGGCTTTTTGGAACTTTTATGAGATTCTATGATTTTGTA